ACAAACTGTGGCCTTCCTGTCAGGTAATCTGTAATCCAGGAAACACAGGAAGGATCTACTCCCATCTCTGTAAGCTTGTCTTTGAGTGTGGTAGATTGGATGGCGTTGAATGCACTTGAAAAGTCGAAGAACATGATCTTCACATAAACCCCAGGTTCCTCCAGATGAGACAGGGCATGGTGAAGCATGTAGAGGACAGCATCACCCACTCCAATGTTTTCTTTGTATGCAAACTGCAGGGAATCCAGTTCGTCTTTGGCCTCAGACCTCAGAGGGTGTAGAATCAGCCGCTCAAGGGTTCTCATTATGTGTGAAGTGAGGGCCACTGGTCTGTAGTCATTGACTTCAGCAGGACATTTTGTTTTTGGTACTGGCACAATGCAGGATGTTTTCCACAGAGTAGGTACCCGCCCCAGCTGTAGACTCAGGTTGAAGATCCTGTGGAGAGGTTGACACAGTTCTGCAGCACAGTCTCTAAGCAGCCTTGGACACACACCATCTGGACCAGCTGCCTTCCCAGGACAAAGTCTTCCAAGTTTCATCCTCACCCCTGTTTCGGTGACAGACTAGGACTGGTGTTCTAGGAGGGAGGCAGTTGAAGTGGTTGAGACATTTGAATGAGATGGAGGAGGAAGGGGCGAAGTTGCAGTGGAGATTTGTTGCGTAGAGGAAGGTGGAGTAGCAGTGAAAGTGGGTGTGACAGCAGTGTCAAATCTGTTGAAGAATAGGTTGAGTTCATCAGCTCTTTCCAGACCACCCACCACTGGCTGTCTTTTCTTTTTATTGCTGTGTCCAGAGATGGTAGTGATTCTTCTCCACACTTCACAGATGTTGCTGTGTTGTAGATTCTTCTCTATCTTCTTTTATCTTATCTTCTCCAGCTTTGCTATCTTCAGTCTCCTCTTCAATTCTTGTTGCACTTGTTTGAGTCATTCTTTGTCACCATCTTTAAAAGCTGTCTTTTTCTGGTTAAGGATTGCTTTTATGTCACTTGTGATCCAGGGTTTGTTGTTGGGGAAACGTCAAACAGTCTTCATGGGTATAACTGTGTCAACCTGTTTGTCAATGTTCATACTATCCACGTCTGTTTCCAGCAGCACATTCCAGTCTGTTGATTTAAACAGTCCCTTAGACCTTCACTGGCTTGAGGTGTCCATCCTCTGATTTTGACTTTGGTCACAGGCTGCCTCAGTACACAAGGTCTGTAACAGGTTACAGATAGATCAAGTTATGATCTGACTTGCCCAGTGGTGGTAAGGCAGTGGCTCTGTAAGCTTCTTTGACGTTGGCATACAGCAGATCCAGGGTTTTGTTCTGTCTGGTAGGACAGTTCACAAACTGTGTGAATCCAGTCGGGTGAGAGGAGAGGGTGACATGGTTGAAGTCTCCTGATATTATTATTAGTGCCTCAGGCTGTTGAGTCTGTAGCCTGGCAACACTATTTTGCAAAACATCACACAGAATTTCTTCAGTTGATTTGAGTGGAATGTAAACAACTATTGTTATGATATGACTAAATTCTCTTGGAATATAATATAGCCGAAGAGCAACTGCCAACAGTTCAATTTCTAGACAACACAACTTCTCCTTGACAGTTATGTGTGAAGATGGCGGCCGCGTTTCTTGCGCCCCAGCAGCCGAAGCTGTGTCTACTCTTTATTGGGTCTATGAGATTACCTAGATAACAACTGCAAGCTCCACCCTTGGAGCCCCGCTATGCAGGACACTCTCAGAGAACTAGAGAGGACGATCACAGAACAAGCATGTGCGTTGAATAAAAAATACTAATTCACTGAACAATGTAAGATATATTTTTTCTTAGGACTGATTAAGATAGCCAATTATGTTACTTTTGCTCCTAAACCTCAGTGACTCCTTTATCTTCACTAAGGTTTTTGGTTTCTGGACAGTTCAGGTGGGGAAACACTTGAATACTCATTTGATATTATGTATATAATTTTCCTGAGCAGGTAATCTTAAATGAATTATCTGTTGCTTTCTGATTCAAAAAAGAAAAAAAAAAGTATGTATATATATATATATATATATATATATATATATATATATATATACTGTCATGGCCTCTACTATTGAAATCTCATGTCTAATATTTGAATATTTTTCTCGAAAAAGATGACATCAGTTTGAATCGCGTCAGAGGAGCCTGAACAGAGTGGAGTCAAGGTAATCATTTTTACCGTGCACAATGAAGCATTCAGCCTTTACTTAGAAATCAAACCTGCCCCTGGCCAGATTTAATTTAAGTCTTGATTTAGACCTGGATTTGTTCTAGTCTTTCGTCAAGAGAGGAGATTATTTAACTCAAGACGAGGACAAGTCTGAGACTATTTTGATCCATATCTAAGAAAGCTATTTCAATAAATCCTGGATTAAAATGTGAATAAATCTAGAACTAGGCCTAATCCCTGTACGGGAAACTGGGCCTCGATGTTTGAGCCTTATTTTTTACATTTTAACTTTATTTCTAATATTGAGATTTACTTCTTGAAATCCAGACATATTCCCAACATTTTAATTTGACAAAAAATCAACACAAACATGATCGTGACCATGGTCTTATTCATGTTTTGACAGTTCTACATTTATGTTACCAATTGTTGAACACGGTAAAATTAATGATTTCAGATGATCATATTCTCAACTTTCTAATGTTTAAACTAAAAAACATTTAATGTTTACAGCTAACTAAGCCTGTAGGTTTTTTAACAACCACTGTCCTGCAGGGGGTGACCCCTCTGGCTGTAAAATGGGTCTGAATATTTAGGAGCATAATGAGAGAATGATTCTCCTTTTCAGTTGATTTATTCCCTCAGTAAACAATATCCTGATGAGCCTACAGTCTCTGTCTTCTTCATTTTAATGTAACCCAGACTAGGTTTCTGAGATGTTTGCCCAATAGCGCATCTGTGTTCCACCATCAGGTGGTGCATGCGCTGTAAGAAAGGCTCTCAATTATTACTTCTCATCTTTGGTTGAAGACGTTGCCTCGAAACATTAATACAAAACCCTGTAGTGCGAAACCCTGTGTGAAGGTGAAAGTTAAACGATGCGCATCTGTCACGGGCTTTAGCTAGATATGATAGATATGCTAGTGGCTATGTGAACACTATTGTAAGCTATTTTGTCATGGTAAGCACCAGTGTTGTGCCCGAATGCATTCAATGAACGATTGTTCATGAACTTGTTCATATTTCGGGTGAATGTGAAGGTATCATTCTTTATTTGCATATGAACACGTTGGTGTTGAACGCGCTCATTCTGGCATCGGTGAGCTGCGTTCTAAACTCTGTTCACAAGTGTGCCAGATGTCCAGAGCCTTCCAGGGGAAACCCCAGCTAAAACACACTGTAAACAGGCCTTAATAAATTATGCTCTTGAACCAAGAGGTTGCTGCAAGTCTGGTCTCTCTGTGTTATTTGTAATCTTTGCGAGATTTTTTTCATATTTTTGTTGTCTTTTTGTTGGCTGCTGAAGGATACTTCTGCTGGATGAAGAGTTTACTCAAGAGAAGAGCTCCTATAAGTGAGGAAAAGCAAATCTGGACAACAACATACAATTCCAGGGGACATCAGGAGGTTTTATCGTGGTTGCCGTGCTGGTGCAAAAGTGAAGGCAAAGCTGAATGCCAGGAGTTAGCTATATAAACCCATTCTTCCATCAGTCATCATGGGAAACGTCAACTCTCTGCTCAACAAAAGCGATGAGCTGGAGATATTGGTTAAGACTGAGAAAGCATACCGTGAGTGCAGTTTCCTGTGTTTTACTGAAACCTGGTTGAATCAAAACAACTCAGACTCCATTGTGGAACTACCTGGTTTCACTCTTATAAGGTCAGACAGAGATGCTCAAGCGAGCGGCAAGAAGAAAGGAGGAGGTCTTGCTTTATTTGTTAACCAGAGATGGTGTAACTCTTCACACATAACTGTCAAGGAGAAGTTGTGTTGTCCAGATATTGAACTGTTGGCAGTTTCTCTTCGGCCATATTACGTTCCAAGAGAGTTTAGTCATATCATGACAATAGTTGTTTACATTCCACCCAAATCAACTGAAGAAATTTTGACTCAACACCCTGAGGCACTAATAATAATATTCGGAGACTTCAACCATGTCACCCTCTCCTCTCACCAGACCGGATTCACACAGTGGGCTCTATTTTCGTGCCTTTCGTGTAAGGTTGTACCCACTGGTAAGACAAACACCCTTTTCCACAAATGAAGACACTCACATAAAGTTGCATATATTTAAACCCCACATGACAAAGGTGGGTTGTGCGCACAGATCACAACATAAATTCCAATAATGGCATTAAAATCGGAACCACCTGTGCGTAAAGGATGCATCGCGCTCCGTGGCCTGGCTCTTTCTTTCATAGATGTTGGCATATAAAATAAATTTGGCTCACCATACTCAATATTCGTATGTGGGCCTAACTCCGGATTGAATATTTACGGAATCTTAATGATATGAGAAAATCAGATAAAACGGTAATTTTGAGTTTCTTTTCTTTTCTTTTCTTTATTTATTTTGTTCATATTTCAAAGTAAATAACTCATCTGATCACTAAAATAAATCATCTGGTCAACCGTGCCACCGCAGCAGCAGCAGGACGGATAGAGGACACGGAGACATGTCAGGTGTTGTGCCATAGAATGCACCCCTGCCATGAAATGCTCCCCCTGACGGGAGCGCGATTGAAAGTACACAACAAGGCGAAATAATCCAAATTTTCCTTACCGTTGGATAGATTCAAAAGCATGTGCCTTTAATGATTTCATTCAGGCTATTCAGATATGCAGAAAACAACAGCCCTCTGATTCGGAATATTTGCTGCCCTGAAAATATAATTTTCTCTACCTTAACAGCTCACTGGACAGTTCATATACCCAAGTACACCTCTGTATGTGCATCTTTTAAATACCTAAAAACAGAACGAAAGTTTGCTGCTTCATTTGACATGTTTTCATGATCCAATACTCGTGTTTTTTTTTTTTTTTTTAATTTTTATTTGAGATCATTTTCTTCCACTTTAAGAAGCAGGGGTGCATTCTACGGCACAACACCTATCGAGCTGCGTGAGGAAGAATGAGGATAGGTGGAGAGACGAATTAAATATCTTGTTAACATCATCATGTGTGACTGTTTACTGGATATTTAATTTAATGCGGTTTCAGCTATGTTAATTTAGTCAGGTGGAGTATCCAAACGCATGCCAAATGCGCTCATCAGATAAGATATAGATCAGAATATATCGATATAGAGCTAAATATATGTGCTGATTCAGATAGTTGCACTGAATAGTGGTTGTTGATGATTATTTATTGCACTGAAATGTGCCTGACATTATTATTTTTTTGTTACCATTTGTTATGTTAAAACAAAACAAAAAAGTGTGCAGCTTCACTTTTACTTATTAGGATGCACAATCCAATTACAAATACTTTCATAATAAGCTCATATCAACCATATAAGGTAACCCCAAAACTGCCCGGCACGCGCCACAAAAATCTCCTGGATTTTATAACCCAAATGTTGGCAGGTATAATTTATTGTTAATTGTTATTGTTATTTCCAGTATTTGTTCTGGTTCCTTTTTAGTATGACTGAAATGGAATTTGATGTGAATTGTTTCCAGGTAGGTTTGGAAAAGTATAGAAAGGAGAAAAAAAAAAAAGAATAGGACTACAGTCCTGTTGTTTTAATCATAATAGTCTAAAAACCATTCAAGCAGCAGGTTTTCCTCATGTTTATGAAAATATACTCTAGAGATGAACGTTCTTACTAGTGAGGACTGAACAAAACATTAGGGAAATGCCAGAATTCTGAGGGCTGTCCTCTCAATGCTTTGTAAACCTGGTTGGATTAGGATTCAAAAATGGATATGAAGATTAATCTGACATAGTTTCAGTGTTAAAACGGCTAAAAAAAAGTTGTCTGTGGTTTTATGTGGGCTCTGTAAAACAATCTAAACAATTAATAGCTTGCAGCAAAGTATTGGAGAAAAAAAAAGATCTGTGCTGTGTCTATTGAAGATTTGCCTGGCCCCCACCGCTCTACTAAAGGTTGCAGTAAAAAAATATAAATAAGAGGAGATCTAAAACATCAGGATGTGGAAATACTTTGAGGACCCCTTGGACTACACAAGACCAGGTCAGGAAAGACTGTTTACCAGCAATGTGAAGGTTGAACTTCCACCTTCACTGGAAAGGATCAGATAAGTTTCCCCTGCTGGGCTTGACAGTATGAAGTGGCAATGACAGTGAATTTAATTATGAGCTGGCAAGGATTTTACCAACATGACTGACGAAAGTTGCTTGCCTTGTATGGAATAGCCTCCGAGCGGCTGTGCAGGGAGAGTACAGAGCAGTTAAAGAGAAATTATCGGCTGCTTTTGGACAATAACCCTTTCTGGACCGCTTTAGATCCAACCTTGCCAAACATCCCATGCTCCTTGTACGAATTTGGAAGTCTACACAGCAGACATTAGCAAGCTGGTTCACAAGGCATTTCCAGGTTATGGGTAGCTAGCTCAGAGAGAGGAGAAATTTCATAGATTTCTGGTGGGGCTTCACCCAACCCTGAGAGCAAAGTGCTACATAAAGGATCTACGGACATAAATGAGGCCCTGATTATAGCTTGCCATTGTGAAATGGTCACTGGCATGAGAGAGAAGGGAGTTTCAAGGAGGGACAGCAGAGGGTGCTCTTTGACAGCCAATCCAGCTCTCCAACCTGGTGGAGCCCTAAACCACCTACAAGCCCCTTTAACGACGAGTCTCAGAGGAAACGAGAGGTAAAGTTTTATTTCCTCAAAAGAGAGGACCTGGCTAACCAGCCGGGAAAAGGGTTGTAGCTGATGTCACTGCCCAAACATCAGCTACTGCACTCATGGGCCAGATGAATAAACAGAAGTGCACCTCATATGTCAGAGAAAACATTAAAGAGACTGAAATGACCATATTGGTGGGTTTGAGTTCAACAGAGTCATTTATAAGTGCCGATCTCCACGTCAGTCTCAGCACTTCGCAGGCAACCACTGAGTGCTGAGCTTATTTCTGCACTGGTTGTCAATGGGGAAAGGTTGGATGCTTTAGGTACCATAACTGCGACCTTACATCTTGGTAACGAACCCTGGCAACATGTTTTCCATGTACTCAGGGGTCAGCACAAGCAGCCTTGCTGGGCCTGGATTTCTTGATTGCAAATCATGCTCTTCTGGATTTTACCCATGGCAAACTGCACCCGTGAGACATTGCTCGTGATATTACCTATATTCCCCGTCCTATATTCCCCAATATTACCTATATTCCCTGTCTTGCAAGAAATATAGGTGATATAGTGAGCGTATCTCCTCTGATGGCGGCGGCAGATTGGACTCGGTGGATGCTATATGCTTGCGTATTTGATCCGCTTGACAGTTCATAGCGGAATGGGGCTGTTCTGGATCCTGTGGAATCCCAGGTAAAGCCCTCTTGACCTGTGGAGGGGGGAGTGGGACTATTTTCTGAAAACATATGGCCTTGGCTTTGCATACAACACGTCAGTCCTTTCCAATACCAGCTACACTCCCTATTTCTTGGTTTATGGGCGGCAAGCGCATGTTCCAGTAGATGTACTGGTGCCAGGTTTTTGTGGTGCAAGTCTGTTTGGTGCCCACGCTCATGAGAACCAGAAACTGCACTATGACAGGGCTGTGAGGCACTGGCCTTATGCTGTAGGAGATCTTATGTGGCTTCACAACCCCACAGAGGACCCCATGTAGCTTTCTCCACACTGGAAGGGCCCCTACAAAGTCCTGGCTGTCATGGACTCACAGATCGAATCTGGAATTACCTATTGATTAGCAGTGCCTTGGACTGTGATGACTGTGATTTATCAAGTTTGCTTATGGCAGAAAACTTATGGACACCTTGCATACGTAAGTTGCAACTTGAGTTCAACCACATTAACATGATCATTGGGTCATATTGTTCGTTCTCACAATGCGATTTGATCCAACATTTGTATATAAGACCCACCCTCAGGTGAAGAAATCACACAACCTCCATTTTTTTGATCGAGCAACATCCCTTCGATTAACTGGACTGGATTAATCTGATTCAAGTAGGTAAAATGCTTTGAATATTTTTTTTTGTGTTTATTACAATGTCTAGAACATGAACATATGGAGCTCTATTTTCGTGTCCGCCGGTGAGGCGGCGGAGGGGGGTGGACCCAGCGAAGTGAAATTTTCGTCTGGCGGAGCCTGGCGTACAGCCAGTTTGGTATTTTCGTGGACTGAGGCACACCGAGGTCCGCCAAGCTGGGCGTGGTGGCGAGGCAGAGGGAGGTGTCAACAGAATCAGCTGCCGCAGTGACATTTTCGTGCTCGCCGGTGGCGTGTAAAGTGCGCTCAAAGCTTGCCAATTCAAACCTGGTCAGCTTCCAGAGCAGGCAGAGCGCAGCTGGTCTAGTAGTATTTTGGTAGACCGGCGGCATATCGGCATACGTCACTGATGCCTCAGTGGCAGGTTTCCATAGTGTCAGGTTTCCACAGTGTCAGGCACATTTCAGTGCAATAAATAATCATCAACAACTAATAATCTGAGTCAGCACATACATTTAGATCTATATAGATTGTTCTGGAACAGGTGTTAATGTTCATGGATGTAGGTGTGGTTGTAAACCGGAGGCTACATGCAATCTTATTGGGATGATAAACACACTGTCTTAGTCTCTATTGATAAAAAAATGTTCCTAGCAATTCATAGTCAAAACAGGGATGTTCCTAGTGCATTTGTGGCATTGTTCTGGAACAGGTGTTAATGTTCATGGATGTAAGGTGTGGTTGTAAGCTGGAGGCTACATGCATTCCCATTAAGATGATAATCACAGTCTCCAATAGGTCAATAGGTCAATATTGTGTGACCAGTGAAATGTGTGAACAGGCTACTTCAGTGCAATGTGTAAACACTTCATAATGATATCAGTCTCCCCATCACCCCATCTTTTCTGTTGGCCATCTAGAATCTAGTAAGCATGTGTGTTATTTGTATATACATTTATTACAATTTTATTTTTTCCATTTCAGAATGCCACCAGCAAGGAGAGATCCTCGGTACAGTGTGCAGGATGTAGTTGCCATTGTCCAAAACGCAACAGATTCCAATCGCTGTTCACATTACATTTTGTAAACAATTTGACAGTGTCAGAGACTTAAAAGAGGGACAAACTCTGGAAACTCAGACAATGGCTTGATTCACTCAGAGAGAACTCTGAGACTGGGTTGGATATCTGCCTGTTTTTCAGAGGACAAGAACTGCTCATAATGTAAATAATGTAAATTAATGTCAAAGTTCTTGTTGGAATAAATTACTCTTTATAACAACATGACTGAGATTATTATTCATGTTATATACTGGTTTGGGAACAGCAAACCCTCCAAATGAATCCTTAGTTCTGTATTGCCGTTCAGACAATGAGTGGAAATACAGGAGATTCTGCTCCCCATTAAGCCCAAAATTGCAATATCACAATATTTCCGTAAAAACTTAATAAAACATAACATTTTTGAAAACACTCAATTTTCACCCCCAAAGGCCTCCTACAACAACATCTGAATGGTTGAATTTTTTTTTATTTTTATTTTTTTTTGCGTTTTTCTATATTTGGGTTTTACAGGGTTAAGCACAATCAGCCAGATTTCATTATAGAAATTAAGACGTAAATAAAATAAATCAAAGAAATTTGTCATGTCCTTAGTGAATAGGCCTATTTAACTCTGCCCAGAAACACTGCCACAGAGCAGGAATGCCGTTTTAACACTGCGCACACATGCACATTGCACACACGCCACTGTGGAGCACTGCATTGGACTACGAAAAGGCAGGTAGCTCTGTCTTGGCCCAGCAGCGGGGACATTGTTGTACACTCCTGAAAGGGTTTGGGACATCATTTGGGGCAGTACAGTTTTGCACAATGTTGCACTGGCGAATGGAGTGCCGTTGGCTGTTCCGGTGCAATGTGAGGACCCGATGCCTGGAGAACAATAACGAGGAGAGACTCCACAAAGGTGCTGTACAGAGGAGACAGGATCTTATCGATGGATTCTGACATGTAAAGTATAAGTTTAGAAAGTGCTCTTGCTATTTTATCAGTGATAAAAGTCCAATAGAAATCCATAAAAATGTGCCTCAGGGGCAGCAACACACCATTAGTGACATTAATAATTATTTTTGTTCAGCCTTTGTCAGACTTTCCAGTCTGCTCTACATTACAAAGACGCAACAAATTAAAACTAAATACTTTCAATGATAGGAGCAACGTACCCTATGCCATGGCAATAAAAATATGAGGTATGTATGAGATATTAATTTATCATCATGAGCAACTTATTGACTAATGATTTTTTCAAATTACCAAAGAGCAAATCCTTGTTAGTTTCCACCACAGACGTGAGGACATCTGCTTTCAGCCCGGAAAAGTTTCGAATCTTCCTAATATTTCTCCTCCTTCATGTTTGACCTCAGTGGGTGAGGCTTGTGAGCCACGAATAATTAAGGGCGTGACATGTTAATGACGATGGATTTCAGCCGCCGCATTTATCAAGACCGGATCATATGTACGCTGGGATTGGTCAGATACAACCCTTTCATAAATCTCATGTGTGTCCTATCGTACTATAAATCCTGCGCTCAGATCTGCGCTCAGTTCTGCGCAAGATTGATAAATGAGGGCCAATGTGTGTATAATTAGACAAAATGTGACTTTAGGTTAATTTCACCACAGAATGATTTCCCAATAAACACAGACAAAAATAAAGTAAAATATTAGGTACAGAGCCCTGACAGTGATGCTGGCCTGGCTGACACATTTCCATCAACCTAGAAATATGAATTCAATACAAGAAATGATCATTTTCAAAAAAATGTTTTTTTATACAGACCACACACTGCAACTGAAACGTGTGTGTGTGCTTGTGTGTGTTTGAGATCAAACAGCCAAAAATCTTCTCCAGACACAATATGACCTTTGACACTTGACCTGTAAATTCATCTGTGAGTGTGTGTGTGTGTGTGTGTGTGTGTGTGTGCGCGTGTGTGTGTGTGTGTGTGTGTGTGTGTGTGTGTGTGTGTGTGTGTGTGTGTGTGTGTGTGTGTGTGACCTCTCTCTGGGTGCTGTTTAGTTTATATCGTGCAAATGAAAAGAGAGCATAGGGTAGTCCACCAGCAGCAAGTGATGACCTTTTACTTTGATCATGCTGTCATGTGTCAACCTTATGTGAGCGCTGCAAGGGTGCGAGCTCGAAAATTTTTTTTTTTTTTAATTTATAAAGAAAAACACATAAAATGATTTTTAACTACTATACTAACTCGATTTTGACAGACACTTTCACACTTGCCCCATGTTACCAACAACAATGGAATTACAGTGTATTGGTAGGCTAAAAGAAAACAGAATATTCAGGACTGACACGCACGCACGCACACGCACACACACACAGTAATATAACCAGCTCCGTGGTCAGTCAAATGACACAATCAGATGCCTACATAGATACCAACAATATGTTGGAATTTACAGTATTTGAAACTGGCTGGTGCCCATGAAGTGGGCTCAAGCCAAGTTCAGTGTACTGGGAGAGAGGAAAAGTGTCCCAGCGCAGCGGCAGGGAGTGAGGATTTAAACACTTGTCACCCATTGAATAAATAGTTTAATAATTGAAGTGTAACACACTCATAGAGGTCATATTACTTATTCATCCGAGCATTTTTTATTATCACACACCATGTGGTCAACCACATTCTTTTCCTATCTGCTGGTAATGTGTTTTTGACAATGATGTTTGTTTTTGATGAATGACAAACGCCCCTTTGTTAATTGTCTATTTAGTCCGGCTCAGAGCGATATAGCGGGTGAGGGGCAGGGACTCACTAATGCCTGATCGAGATGATGGATGACCCCCTGAGTCCCTGTTCTTCATCACTGCAAACACAGGTAAAATTCAGCTGCTGTTACCACAGTTGCGATCTTCTACTACTGCAGACTATCACTGCTGCTTCTGGGTTACAATAAACCAATAAAAGCCTACACCTTCCTTAAAATTATATGGTTTTATTCATTTTGGATAAAGATTTGACTCAGTTCTGCTTTTAAAATTGTTAATTTTTAATAATTGGGTTTAGGATCAAATAACTGAGCTTCACTTTCAAACTTTCAAAAACACGTCAGCATGTGCGTTTGTGTGTACGCTTTCTAGAGGGGATAAAACTAAGTGATTAATGTAATTATAAAAAGCAAAGTTTACAGTATATGTAGATACTTTCACCTTTATTTTGAGGATTATTTGGTCTGGTATAAATGGACCAAAAAGGTTTAGAACTAACCAAACATGAAGATGCTTTATGACTTATGTTACTGATAATACATCTAACAAGGTATTTAAGGTACCAAGGGGGCCTTTATAAATGTACAAAAATCTCTGTGTGATTCTTTATTCTTTATTCTTTCTTTATTCATACGGATCCCCATTAGCTGCCACCAGAGTAGCAGCTACTCTTCCTGGGGTCCACAAATAAAACAAACAATACAATAGAATACAATACAATACAATACAATACATAATGCAATAAAACATGTGCAGTCTTGCAAAAGGTCATTCAAGACATTAAAAGTCCAGTAATAAACAGAAAGAAATTTAAACTTTCACAATCCTTGAATAACAAATCAGTTAAAATTACAATTAAGATTAGGGTAATTTGTCAGGTTATGACATATGCTTATTTATTTCGGTTCAAGTTTATCAAGTTCCTTTGATTTTTCAACTAAAACCTTGTCTATTTACTGTCAATATTCAGTTTTGGGGGTTTATCTTCTTTTCTTTATGTAAAATAATAATAATAATAATAAATCATTGAATACTTCAATGACAGACTAATATTATTCAGACCGTTCCAGATTTAAATTTTTGCATTCATTGCCTTTGACTGCTTTTGCTTTCAAAGTTTCAATTTCCTCAGCTGTTTATTGATTTATGATTGATTATTTAACCTTTTTGACCTTTGTTGTGCCTTTAAGTGTTTTCACACTTCACTCTTGATTTAAAGTTTATTAAAAGTTTTCTGGATTCATATTTACTCTGATAGTCTTATTTGTGTAACTCCACTTAAAGCACTCCACTCTCATAACCATTAAATTCTTTTTTTTGATTCACATTTCTTGCAATAAAAAGAACATAAATTATTTTAAGACTAAGACCTTTCTCTATCTGATGTTGAAGAGCCTAAAAATACAGACTTAATTCTGTCATACTATAATTCTGGTGTTTTTCTGGTGGTTACAGATTTGTTCAGACATGATGTCCTCTGTTGATGAAGAAATAAAAAGCTAAAACATCTGACGTAGAGAATTAATAAAAAAAAACAGATTTCACTGATATTTTCCATTAAGTTTGAGATTATTCTCTCACAGGGATTTCTTTTTGAGCACTTGGTTTAACATTAACTTATATCTGTGGTCTTAATTTCTCATTCGTGTCTCAGGATAAAGTTTGAATGAGTTCATTTCCAGAGTATTTAACTGTTGAAACATTACTCCAGCTGCTTGGTCAGATTTGGTGTATTTGGTAAGTGTTGCACTGTCACATTAACAATCAGACAAATAAACACTGACCTAATCAATAAGGAAACACTTATTGGCACCAAAAGAAATGTGCAGCACATTACATAATGGGAAAAAACCCCATCTAAAACTAGTTGTACACCAATTACTATATATATATATATATATATATATATATATATATGTGTGTGTGTGTGTGTGTGTGTGTGTGTGTGTGTGTGTGTATATACGTATATATATTATTAGAGAGAAGTAAGAAACTGAGGGTTCATTATTTTTATTTTTACATGTAGTTACAGCAAAAACAAGCTCAGAGAAACAAGGCTTTCATCCAAGAATCCAGCAGCCACAGTGACATTTATCTCTGAATAAAAGGAGTCAGTGACAAACAGTTAAAGTTTGTTTCAAGAATACGGCACATCAAAAGTATATTAAAGTGTAGTTGGATTATAAAAATCTCAAACCAAGTGTCTTTTATTTATCATCCAATTGACTTGGTGATGAAGCGCTTCCTCATCCTCTCCTTTCCTTTCTCACTTCAAGAGACTGTGATCATTGTCTGGTTGGAGGAAAGGCTATGATCTGGCTAATGGAAGTCTTCGTGATTTGGTTTATTTTCACATGTGCTGCAGAGAGGAGCCAGTGTTGGACACACCCGATTACCCTACATGGAGAGGTCCCCACATCAGGCAGAGACTCAGAAGTGACAGTGTGGTGGTGTGTTCTGACCAGGTAAGATCCCTCAAAGTTTCCACCTGAGTCTGCTGAGTTTGACTGATTCCTACTCAGTCATGATAAGGTTGCTACTGCAAGGTCTCTCTGCATCTGACCCTGTTACTTGTTCTGCAGCGCTTGATAAGAAGATCTGGTTGGTCATATTAAGCCATCAGGTTATCCCTGTGATGCTGTCCCTCCTAGACTTTTTCAAGAGGTTTTCCCTAGAATAGGGCAGTTGCTTCTGGTTATCATTAACAGCAGTCTGTCTTCTGGTGTTGTTCCCCTAAGCTTTAAAAATGCAGAGGTACAGCCTTAACTTAAGAAACCTGGCCTTGATAGCAGCGTGCTGACCAATTTTAGGCCCATCTCCAAGCTCCCTCTTATTTCTAAAATTTTAGAGAAAGCTGTTCATGTTCAGTTGAAGTTATTTCTGGATGAGCTTGCTGTCCAGGGGCCTCATTTATAAAGCTTGCTTACGCACAAAACCTGGCTAGAAAGTGCTTACGCCACTTCTTACGCAAGAGTTGGGATTTATAAAAGAAAAACTAGTGTAGGAATGTGCGCAACTTTAAGCAAACTCCACACCTTGCTTACGCACTTTTTGGAGACAATCTATGCAAGGTGAGAACAATTGGTTAATGGAAAGCGCGTGTATAAAAAGCCATACAGTGACAGTCGTGCGCAATGCAGCACAAGTTTCAAGTTTTATTTGTCACATGCCTAAATGTACAGGTACAGTGGCAGTGAAATGAAAGTGACGTCTGCGATTGTGCCAAAAAAAACATCATAATAATAATGTAAAGTCTGTTCAGAGGGTGTTGAGAAGTCAGTTATGGGGTGTGTGTTATGAGGAGTTCAGGATCCGAGTGGCCTGGGGGGAGAAGCTCCTTTTCAGCCTGTCAGTCCTGGCTCTGATGGAGCGAAGCCTCTTACCTGAGGGCAGCCACTCAAACAGTCTGTGGTTCAGATGGAGAGTGTTTGATAATCCGTCTTGCCCTGGACCTGCACTGCTGGGTGTAGATGTCCTGGAGGCCGGGCAGTGCAGTCCGGGTGATGCGTTCAGCACGACGGATGACTCGATGCAGGGCGTCTCTCTCCTGAGAGCTGCAGCTGCTGTACCAGGCAGTGATGCTCGCAGAAAGCACAGACCCCACTGTGGCGGTGTAGAAAGTTTGCTTTATGTGAAAATATTTGACGAAAACAACACTGTTTCGGCAACGCTGCCAGCCGCAATTACCGCCACGGCAACAGCGTTTTTATTGGTGATGCCACTCGAATGGCCGCCGAATAAGGTCTCCCGTCTCGCCGCCACCTCAATTTCAAGAACCTCCACCTCGGTCTCTGAAAAGTTTCTTTTTCTACGACTTGCTGATGCCATAGTTAAGCGTGAAATGCCGTGGATCCATCAGGCTTATTTATATGCAAACCACATTCATGAGGTAATTTGCATGACCATACATGGTGAATTTTGGGTGTGGAGAGGGCGGGGCATGAATCAAATCCCTGCTGCGCAACTTTCCGGCTGGTCTGTGATTTATAAAGGGAAAGTGCGTGCAGGTGTGCGTAGGCAGGGTTTTATAAATCCGATTTTTTTTTTGCCTACGCACTTTTCAGCTTTTCAACTTACGTACACTTTTAGTATGGATCCTACGCCAGGTTTTATAAATGAGGCCCCAGGAGGTCTTTCAGTCTGGCTTTGAAACTCTTCACAGCACCGTGTCAATTTCAGTTTTTGATGACATCCTCCCAGTGAATGACTCTGGTGATCATGTAATTTTTGTTCTGTTGGACCTAACTGCAGCTTTTCACATTGTGGACCACAATACCCTTGTGGCTTGGCTATGTCACTTAATAGGTATCTGTGGTACTGCACTGGGGTGGTTCAAATCATATCTGGCTGATAGGAGTATGAATGTAAGCCTTGGAGGTTCAGAGTCCAGCTCTGCTCCACTGCCGTACAGGGTCCTAGAGGGGTCGATTTTAGGACCCTTGCTTTTTTCTTTGTATTTACTGCCCCTGGGCTCCATCCTGAGAAAGCATGGCATCTCTTTACACTGTAATGCTGACAACAGTCAGATACACTCACCGGCCACTTTATTAGGTACACCATGCTAGTAACGGGTTGGACCCCCTTTTGCCTTCAGAACTGCCTCAATTCTTCGTGGCATAGATTCAACAAGGTGCTGGAAGCATTCCTCAGAGAGCTTGGTCCATATTGACATGATGGCATCACACAGTTGCCGCAGATTTGTCGGCTGCACATCCATGATGCGAATCTCCCGTTCCACCACATCCCAAAGATGCTCTATTTGATTGAGATCTGGTGACTGTGGAGGCCATTTGAGTACAGTGAACTCATTGTCATGTTCAAGAAACCAGTCTGAGATGATTCCAGCTTTATGACATGGCGCATTATCCTGCTGAAAGTAGCCATCAGAAGTTGGGTACATTGTGGTCATAAAGGGATGGACATGGTCAGCAACAATAATCAGGTAGGCTGTGGCGTTGCAACGATGCTCAATTGGTACCAAGGGGCCCAAAGAGTGCCAAGAAAATATTCCCCACACCATGACACCACCACCACCAGCCTGAACCGTTGATACAAGGCTGGATGGATCCATGCTTTCATGTTGTTGACGCCAAATTCTGACCCTACCATCCGAATGTCGCAGCAGAAATCGAGACTCATCAGACCAGGCAACGTTTTTCCAATCTTCTATTGTCCAATTTCGATGAGCTTGTGCAAATTGTAGCCTCAGTTTCCTGTTCTTAGCTGAAAGGAGTGGCACCCGGCATGGTCTTCTGCTGCTGTAGCCCATCTGCCTCAAAGTTCGACGTACTGTGCGTTCAGAGATGCTCTTCTGCCTACCTTGGCTGTAACGGGTGGTTATTTGAGTCACTGTTGCCTTTCTATCAGCTCGAACCAGTCTGGCCATTATCCTCTGACCTCTGGCATCAACAAGGCATTTCCACCCACAGAACTGCCGCTCACTGGATATTTTTTCTTTTTCGGACCATTCTCTGTAAACCCTAGAGATGGTTGTGCGTGAAAATCCCAGTAGATCAGCAGTTTCTGAAATATTCAGACCAGCCCTTCTGGCACCAACAACCATGCCACGTTCAAAGTCACTCAAATCACCTTTCTTCCCCATACTGATGCTCGGTTTGAACTGCAGGAGATTGTCTTGACCATGTCTACATGCCTAAATGCACTAAGTTGCCGCCATGTGATTGGCTGATTAGAAATTAAGTGTTAACGAGCGGTTGGACAGGTGTACCTAATAAAGTGGCCGGTGAGTGTATATTTGCCACTGAAAAAGAAAAATGCTTTCTCCCTTGCACCACTTCTGGCATGTCTTGAAGACATTAAAGCCTGGATGACTTTGAACTTTTTACATTTCAAAGAGAGAAAGACAGAGGTGATGGTGATTATCTAAAGCCAACAGTGTCAAACTTGGGTTTTAAGATGGACAGTGATTTTAAATTGGACAGGCAAATTAGCTCTGTAGTGAAGTGTAGTGAAGTGTGGTGAAGCTTTTTTCAAATTAAGCAGCTGGCCTTTTCTTGCACAACAGCACTTAGAAACAGTCATCCATGCCTTTATCACATCTCAGTTGGATTAGTGTTATGCACTTTACTTTGGAGTCAGCCAGTCCTCCCTTGCACGTCTCCAGTCGGTGCAAAATGCAGCTGCTCACCTCTTACAGTAATTGGAGTACATAAGAGGGAGCACATAGCTCCTGCCTCTCCGGCCAATAATTTCATATTTTTAACCATTTAAACCCCAGATATTTTGGTGACTTTTGTGGGTGAACATGTCTGAAGCCAAAGGAAACAGTTACACACTTGAGTCATCGTGGAAAGCAGGCTACAACCTGAGAAAACAAACCTCCGCTGGCGCCGAAGAGGACCTGGAGGATGGCAACATGCTAGGTGAAGCTAATGTGGCTAGTGCTATTGCCCAACAGGTCACGGAGAAGATTAGCGCCCTGATGGAGCTTAAATTTGCCAAGCTGAAGTCCTCTCTGGATAAACTAAGTAACCGTATTAAAGACAACACCGAAAGAATTGCTGAGGCGGAAAACCGCATCCCAGAGGGTGAAGACCTCACCGCATCCACGGAAAACAAGCTTTCCCATAGGAACTGAGTGTTAAAACTTTAACCGACAGAGCGTAGGACAGCAAAAATAGGAATCGCAGAGACAACAGTAGAACCACGGGGATGACAGAAAACTATGAAATATATATATGGCATTTGGCAAATAAAAAAAATTTTGATAATCCTAATTGACCAAAAACAGCCTCCGGGTCGGGGAACGGGTCCTGACTGTTGTCTGTGCGTAATCGCCGAATAACATTTCAGGGTACCCATCCTTTTTGGAGACCCTAGGACGGACGCTGGACAGTGCCCGACTGATGACTCCTTTGTTCTGCTGGGAGACTTCAAGGCTCACATAGGCAATGACAGCAACACCTGGAAGGGCGTGATTAGGAGGAACGGCCTGCCCGATCTGAACTCGAGTGATGTTCAGTTGTTGGACTTCTGTGTAAGTTGCAGTTTGTCCATAACTAACACCGTGTTTGAACATAAGGTTGTTCATCTGTGCTCCTGGCACAATGACGGCCTAGGCCATAGGTCAATGATCAACTTTGTAGTCGTATCATCTTTTCTGCAGCTGCATGTTTTGGACACTCAGGAGAAGAGAGGTGCAGAGCTGTCAACTGATCATTATCCAGGGGTGAGTTGGGTCAGGTTGTGGGGGAAGCCACTGCGCAGACCTGGAAGGCCCAAACGTATAGTGAGGGTCTGTTGGGAACACCTGTTGGGAGAACCTGTCAGGTTGGCTTTCAACTCCCACCTCCGACACAGCTTCACCTGCGTCCTGAGGGCAGTGGGGGACATAAAGTCCGAATGGGCTTTGTTTCTCTCTGCCATTGTCGAAGCAGCTGTTGCAAGCTGCGGCCGCAAGGTCGCTGGTGCTGGTCGTGTCGGTAATCCCTAAACTCAGTGATGGACACCAGAGGTGAGGGGAGCCATCAGGCTGAAGAAGGAGGCCTACAGGTCATGGTTGGTCTGTGGGAATCAGCTGAACAGTACCGGTTGGATACTGCGCACCACGGCCGGGGCAGTTGCAGAGGCAAAAACTCGGGCATAGGAGGAGTTTGGTGAGGCCATGGTGGAAGACTTCAGTCAGCTCCAAAAAGCTTCTAGCAAACTGTCCGGTGCCTCAGGGGCAGCAGACGGCAACTTGCCCACACCATTCTAGATGGGGGCGGGGAGCTGTGACGTCACCTGGGGCAATATTCCGGCGGTGGAAGGAATACTTTGAGGAGCTCCTCAATCCTACCATCATGCATTCACAAGGGGAAACAGAGTTAGAGGACCTTGAGGTGAATTGTCCAATTACTGGGGTAGAAGTTGCCGAGATAGTAAAACAACTCTATGGGGGCGGAGCCCCAGGAGCAGATGAGATCCACCCAGGGTATCTGAAGGCACTGGATGTGGTGGGGCTGTCCTGGCTGACACGCCTCTACAACATTGCATGGAAATCGGGGGCAGTGCCATTGGAGTGGCAGACTGGGGTGGTGGTCCCTATCTTTAAGAAGGGGGACCAGAGGTTGTGTTCCAACTATAGGGGGATCACACTCCTCAGCCTCCCCGGGAAAATTTATGCCAGGGTGCTGGAAAAGAGGGTCTGATCGATAGTTCAACCTCAGATCGAGAAGGAACAATGCGGTTTTTGTCCCAGTCGCATTACTACAGATCAACTCTTCATCCTCACTCAGGTTCTTGTGGGGAGGTTGGAGTTTGCCCAACCAGTCCACATGTGTTTCCAGTGAGAGTTGGACTTTGCCAGGGCTGCGCTTTGTCACTGGTTCTATTCATAACCTTTATGGACAGAATTTCTATGTGCAGCTGGGGGGTGGAGGGTGTCCAGTTCGGCAAGCAGAGGATCGCGTCGCTGCTTTTTGCGGATGATGTGCTTCTTCTAGCTTCGTCGAGCAGTGACCTTCAGCTCTTGCTGGGGCGGTTCGCAGCCGAGTGTGAAGCGGCTGGTGTGTGAATCAGCACCTCCAAGTCTGAGGCAATGGTCCTCAGTCAGAAAAAAGGTAGATTGCCTTCTCCAGGTCAGAGGGAAGGTCATGCCTCAAGTGGAGGAGTTCAAGTACCTCGGGTACGAACGAACGAACAAACCAATGTACGAACGAATGCACGCACGCACGCACGCACGAACGAACGAACGGTCTCTGGGTGTTTACATGCTTCTAATGCAGATGAAGCCTCATTTATCCCACAACTTTTTTCAGATATAGCAACTTTCTATTCTTCTTTTATACTCTTAGGTGGAGATTTTAGTTGTGTACCAAACCCTATTATGCATATGTGCCCTCCAAGCGCTACTCTCTCTCAAAAAAAGTGCCAAGTTCTGTGAATGTACCAGTGACCTTGATTTGTCTGATGACTGGAGAGTTTTTCACCCATTAGATAAAGTCTATACATTTTCTCAATCCCTCATCAGTTTTTTCTCTAGAATAGCTTATTTTCTTTCATCGAGAACTGTTTTAGATAGAATAGTAAACTGTAAGATTGGACCACATTTTCTCTCTGATCCCCTATAAGGGTCACTATCCATCCCCCCTAGAGAAATCCGTCATGCAGACATTGGTGCCTGGACCCCACTTTATTGAGTAATAACCAGTTACCACAGTTACTAGAGTATATCGCTTTAGAATGGCAGCAGTTTATTGCTGAAAACAAATCTCCAGATATAAGTCTATCTATATTATGGGAGTCAGCAAAGGCATATACACAGGGAACCATTATATCTTAAACAATAGCACAGAAGACAGATGCTTTGAAAGGACAAGTTGTGCTGGAGAAAAGAATACAGAGTCGAGAAACTCAGTTCAAACTTGTGAGGTTTGGGCTTCGGGGGGGACTTCCTCAAATGGATCCAAACCATATACTGCTCACCATCAGAATCAGAATCAGAATGCCCTCTATTGTCATCATACTGAAGTACAACAAGATTGGACACTATCAGCTATTATTATAACTAATGCTCGTTGCTCTGAACCCTTTCCTGTGGCAAGAGGTGTCCATCAGGGATGCCTGCCCTGTCCACTCCTCTTTTCCTTTGCATTGGAGCCATTAGCTAAAATGATACAACTGCATGCAGGTGTAAAGGAAATAATAATGGGCCATGTTGAGCATAAAATTGCCCTGTATGCGGACAATATCCTCTTGTTCTTGTCATCCCCAAGAATGTCAATTGATACTATTTTTAAAATTTTTAATGATTTCAGTATTATATCTGGCTACAAGATAAATTTTAACAAATCTAAAACTATTTAAACTACTAAAGCTACTTTGAACAAAAAGTGATGTTTCATAAAATTGTCCCTTCAAATAGTCAATTGCTAGATTTACATATCTAGGAATTACAATACCCCCAATTTAAAGGATCCAAAACTTAATTTTATTTCAGTTTGCACATCAGTTAAAAATGACCTCAAGCGATGGCACAAGTTACCACGCTCCCTGATAGGCCAGATCAGTCTTATTAAGATGAATGTCCTACCTTGAATTTTGTACCAGTTGCAGATGCTCCCTTTATACTTGCTGAGAAAAATGATTCAATTTTTAGAAAAAGCACTTTCCACATTTATTTGGCAGGGTAAAAAACCGAGACTGAGATTAAAGGTGCTACAGCTTCCTACTCGTATGTGTGGTCTTTTTCTACCTAAGTTTATGTTTTACAACTGAGCTTGCCATGCAAGCCACCTTTGGAGATGGTTACATGTATATCTTGAAAAAGAGTCCTATATTGATTCCTGGGCCTCCCCTTCTTACTCATTATAGAGCCTCGTCACCTGTGATTCAAATCAAATAGATTCAAACATTAAGAATAATCCTGTTATCTACAGCAGCGTTAAAGTGTGGCATGACATGGCTAAATATCTTGAAATTAAAAACATGAAATCCTCACTTTCACCTTTAGTCCAAAACCCCATCTTCCCTGCAGGCATCATCTCTTCTCTGTTCTCTTCATGGTATGAAAATAGGATCCAGTTATTGAGTGACTTATTCAAAGATAATGTCTTGTTGTCATTTCAGCAGTTACAGGAGATATTAGACATTTATTTTGGATCGTCAATCTGAGAAACATTTTATATCATATTTTACTCTCTGCTTTGCATCTCCGACATGTATGAGTTGCCAAAGGGCGCTTATAAATGGTAAAGAGACTTGGGAACTGCATATATTGAAGATGATTGGCAGGCAGCCATCAATTTGGTTGGATCATTATTCACCTGTATCAGAATGTGGGAGACTCAGGACAAAATTTTGCATAGGTTGCATATTACTCCTGTTAAATTACACAAAATTAATCCCTCTATCGCCCCTATCTGTATTAAGTGCTGCTCTGAAAGAGGAACATATTTTCACTGTTTCTGGGAGTGCAAACCAATCTTAAAATTTTGGATACTCATTTTCAAAGAAATAAGTGGTATATTCAAAATTAAAAGAGGTCCTGGTGTTTCCTTTTAGGACTTCCATCTAGATAGTTGCCTCTTCCTGCATCACACTATAAACTCCTGAACAAGCTCCTTTTGATCGCTCAAAAGTGCATTTTGCTCAATCGGATTGAAGATGTCACACCCAGAGTTACGCTTAGATACAGAGAGATTTTAAACAATCTTCCCCATGACCTACTTCAGACTGTCTTCAAAGGAAAAGATGAGCTGTTTGCTAAAATGTGGTTACCTTTTTTAAATTATTTACTCACAGAGCTAAAAACGGCTGATCTTAATGGGAAAGCTGTTTAGTGACTAGAAAAAGTCCATTCACAGTTCTTCTACTGCGGAATAAAAAATGAAAGGGGCTGCTGATGACTGGTTACTCTCAAAGTTTTTTGGCATAAGGTAAACTGGAAGCTAATTTATGATTTTGCTAAATGCTTAAAATGAACACGACTTTTGCTTTTTTCATTAACTTTTGTTTAAAGTTAAGTATGTGCAGATGTGTAGGCTATTTATTTTTGCTTTGCTGCACTGTCTGGTCATGGGGGTGGGGGTGATATTGTGTATTGTGCAATGTTCAAGTTAAAATTTGAAAATGTCAATAAAATGTGTTTGAAAAAAA